AGCATCATTCAATTGCTCGCATAAATGTATGTCTTTCTGAACGCTTGTTCAATTTTATTTACAGAATGTTCAAATTTATTTTATAAATCAAATATTTCATTTAAAAATGTATAATTTGTATCACACCGTACTAGATACTAAAATCTTCGTACTAAATTGCTTTTTAGTTTTCATATTGATTTAGAGTGTACACTACATTACATGATAGAGAATAAATAATTGGCTAATTGACTCTTCTGTGATAAAATACTTAAATCCAAGTATAGAAATGTATTTGTTTTTTCGTAATCGCTGTCTCGTAAGTATGTTCGATCTAAACTGATAAATTCAACATTGATTCTTTTATCATTCTGTATGACTGAGATAAATTGATTTGTTTGCTTATGTTGTGTCGCCAAATAAACGGCATGTAAAATGTCAACCATCTTTTGCTTCGGGAAGTCGTAATATTAATCGATGTGATGTTTAAATGCCACCAATTGACATAGACATTTTTCTACTTTAAATTGATAAATACCATTTTTTTATATGCAGATATGGGAAACACCTTAATGTACATTCTTTCAATATACACGGAAAATTTGCGCACAATTAGGCAACATAGTAATTTAAGATATTTGTAATTAAAAACAACAAAAACAACAAAAAAACTATTAACAAAATACTCATCATATTACAAAATCTGACTGCAATCAAGTCATTAATAACAAACACATCTCATAAACAAACAACTACAACACCAGAATTCAGATACAGGCACCAAAAAATATATCGATTTTATTAGACGTGCGATACGTAGATCATTAGCATTGTAAATTTATTCATTTAGAAGAGCTTCGATACTATCGAATAGAGAAAAAAAAACACATGTAAAAAGTCAATATATGAATGTAGATGTTAGGAATTTTCAATAGGAGATAGTTTTTGTCTCGCTTTAAATGCTTTATTTATGTTTTAAAAATAAATTGGTCTTATTTCCAATTTAACGCCTTTATAATGCATGAAAGAGCACGGTGTACAGAAAACAAGAACAATTTTTTTGTTTTAAATTGAATGTCCGTTTGACACGTAAAAAACCGACCGAATGCCACCATTCGCTTAATTAATTGGAACGTCTAAACTAGATAGACATAATCAAACGCAACAAATATGAATTTTTTAACACACTAAACTATGGAAAATGAAGTGTGTCGCCGATGTGTCCTCAACACACAATAAAAAAAGAAAAACGTTTTTTTTTTTCAAATGCACACTGTTGTAAAAGTTTATACTAAATCTAAAAAAATCAATATCGAAACTACACTTTTAGCAGCAGTTATGGAAAAGCCTTTCGTTTTATTTTAAAATTCAAACTCGCCGCAAATGTACACCTGCCAATAGGAAATGTTAAAGGCGATCAAATTACGCTCTTAGAGCGTTGCTTACCTTAGCGAAAAAAATATATTATTAGATACCTCAAACATTGATAATTTTATAGATGGCAAATTCTATATGATTGATTACATGTATGTGCGTGTTGTTTTAATGGCCCATTGTTATTTGTGCGTCTATATACATATATCTACATATATATATACCTATAATAAGCAGCATAATTAGGCGATAGCTAAAATAATTTCTCGAAAATGATTCTCTTAATAATTCATCTGTATTTTGTAATTTCTTTCATCAATGCGCTTTTGCTGCGAATCATTTGCGGGACGTATAATTGTTCTGAAACGCACAATTCAACTAAAAAACAATTCAAAATAAACAGAGCAATTGGAACGAATCGAAGAAAATATGGATAAGATTCGAGCTGATATGATGGATGCTGAAAAAGCCCTCAGCGGCATGGAAAAATGTTGTGGAATTTGTGTTTTGCCATGGAAAAAGTACGAAAACTCAAATTAGAAAAAATCACGATAATAAACGATTACCATATATTATTTTTTGCACAGAAATAATGCATTCAAAGAGGACGAAGGTGCATGGAAAGGTGAAGGCGATGGCAAAGTTGTGAATAATCAACCGCAACGTGTCATGATGGATGGACAAGGGGTGATGGCATCTGGTTACATTGGAAAGTAAGTAAAACGAACGTTGTATTTAATTTAACAATCCATTACATTCTCACTCCGTTTATTGAACAGAATCACAAACGATGCACGCGAAGACGAAATGGAAGAAAATATGGGTCAAGTCAATACAATGATCGGTAATTTTAACTCATTCAAAAATAGTCGGTTTTTTGGAATGAAATTTTTATTAAAAAATTGTTCAAGTTATAAACTGCATTCATATGATTGTCAAATTGAATTATTTAATAAATATGCTCAAAATAGTACATTTCAAAATGTTAGAGAGACAAAAAAGAATTTTATATAATTGAATGTTGCATGTCCATTTCAAAATCACCGCATAATTTCAGGAAATCTACGGAACATGGCAATCGATATGGGATCCGAGCTTGAAAATCAGAATCGTATGGTTGACAGAATTAACGCAAAGGTAAAACAAATTGACCTCAGTTCAATTGAACTCAAATTGAATAATTTACTTGATTTACTTGACTCTCTCTCTCTCTGTCGTACAGGGTGAATCGAACGAAACAAGAATAGCGGTGGCAAACGAACGAGCTCATCAACTTCTCAAATAAATTGTCTTCATCATATATATGCACACCATATGCTAAAACAACTCAAAAACCAAACCAAATGGACAACCCAACCATACAGAAGATGCCAATTTGATTACGAAGGAGATTAAGAAATGAAATGACAGTATCTATACAAATTATGTATTAAGATTGATAGCAATCATAAAAGATGATGATAAAAATACGATAATAGGCGGAATTCGTACTGATGTACAGAACAAAATTCAATTTAATTTGTTTAAAAAAGAAAATGAAACGTCTGTAAAGGACGCCAAAAAGTGCATTTATTCTTAATTTTCGCTCTTCGAAAAAAGCCATTTGTTGCATATTTTTGTTTTCTCTCATTTTCATTTCGTTTTATTAGAGAGATTTGGTTATGATAATAGATATACTATATATATAATATGGAAACAGAGAGAAGATTTTGAAATAGTTTTGTTTTGCTCCCTACATTGAATTATGTAAAAATATATTTAAGTTTTCGACTTCAATTACATTAAAATGATGAATATAAAGAAAATGTCAAAAAAATAGAGAATGAATCTCATCACATCTACAAAAAAAACTACAAGAATAGTATAGATATTGGAACAACTATTTGGTTCGTTTCATAAAAACGAAATCAACAAAAGTCAGAAAGAGATAAAGATAGACATAGAAAGAGATAAAAGAGATACTAGAAACATTGGTTTTCTAACATTATTATAATACATTTATATGCATTTAAATTAATTATTAATTCTGCTGTAGTACTACAATATAAATAGTTTCGTTTACTTATTATCGATTTGTAGATAAATTATTTATAATCTCACACAATTTCATTCGAAAAAAAAAAAACTAAAAAACATATGGATGGACGAAATATTAATAAATGGTAACCAAATTACGCGTAAAATCGACTTGTTCGAATTACTGTTCCGTTCATTCGATCACAAGTCCTACTTTAAATAAGAAAGACGAAATTGCAATACGCAGCATTTCGACATTTTGCAGCATTTTTATGCTAAAATATTGTAATGAATTAAAACTTTCCCCCCATGCAAATGTGTGCCTTGCTCTCATATATGTGACACGAGGGCAGACACAAATACGTACTCACATCCCACATACACTGCAAAAAGAAAACCAATAAAAAAAAGTAAAAACACCATGTGCATAAGCGAATCTAGTGTTATGTTTATTTGCCAGCCGATCAAAACATAATAATTAAATTTGCAATAAATGTATATCTGCACAAAAATCTCTCACCCTTCGAAAATACTGAAAATTATTGAAAAAAAAAAAATGAAAAAAAAAAAAAACAAACAAAATACAAAAGCAACACAAAAACTGCAACTTTTTTAAACCTAATCCTTGTTGATCTTTCCAGTTGAATTTTTTATTCATTAAACAAATTTGCATATATTAAAAACTATATATAGGAAGATTTGTTCATCCATTGCAAGATATGTGTGTTGCAGTTCAGTTTTGGGTAGGCATTTTTGTGAACATTTCAGGTATTTCCAATGGAAGTAAAAAAAAAAAAATCAAAAAATTAGTTTACTTTCATTGCCAGGTTGAAAATGACTGAAACTACATTCAAATGGCAGCCTCATTTATTAGTTATCCTACCGCAACCATAATGTCTGGCAATGGATGAAGTTGTGTTAACATTTGTTTCCTGGGTAGAAATATTTGTTAGCATACAATATATATTTCAAAATAGATTCACAGAAAACAACAACGCTGTAGCTTATTCAATTATCTCCACGTTTTGAATTGAAACAAAAAAGAGATCGAAAACATGAATGTACCAGTATGTATTGAATCGCGTTTATCGAAATGTCACAGCAAAAATGAACACACTATTATGCAGTATTAGGACGATGCGAATTTAGTGTGCTGTATTTGTATGAATTTGGAACAACCAAAGAAACTGAAACAAACAAAACCATTATTTTCTGTAGGTTAGAATAAAAATGCAAAAAAATATGTAATATTCCAATTGCGAATAAAAAAAACTTAATCAATAACAAAATATTCAATCAATAACAAAAGAAAATACTGAAGGAAGTTCCAATAGAATTCAAAACATGAACAAAATTAACTAAATAATTTAATTGGAATATGATGTCACATGAATCTATCCAAATTTGATAAAAAAAAACAAATATTATAACTTCTTCTCCGCCTCCGACAAATTTAAAACTAATAACAGCAACAATATTTTTCCTCTTCAAACAAAATCTATTGTCCGCAAATGGTTTGGTGGACATTTTCTTCGTTTTTATGAAACACATTATGTGTAAGAGTACTGAATACAAAATTCAGACATTCAACATCCAGCATTTGACATTCTTGAAAATTAGAAAAAAAAATTCGCGACTTATTTTTTAAAAAAGCCTGGTTGTGAAAAATGCTTTTAGTTCAAATGGACAAATTTGATTTGAGAAAAATCCTATTTTAGAAAAAAAGCCAAAAAAACGTCATGATATTCCAAACTTTTTTCGATCGTCAAGTATTGAATGGAATCTAATCCGTTTGCAACGAAAATTCTGAAAATTGAAATTCTATTTCGCCCTTTACAATTTAAATAAGGCATACTATTGATGATCACACTGCAATATGTGAATGATAACGTTGATTACAGACTTTTTTCAACTTCATCCTTTTTTCTCTCACACATAGTAAATCTTTTGTTTGCTCGCAATCATTTAAATTTTCATTCGATTATGCATATCAATACATGTTTCATTTAAATCAGTTTTACATCGCATACGGAAATGAGACAAAACAAAAATTAACAAAAAAAAAATACGTTCTGATGTATTGGGCACAGTGATAAAAAAATAAAATGTGAAACATTGTTTGGATGAAATAAGCCATTTTGTTGAATTAGGTTTCAATGAATGAAAAAAAAGAAGCGAACGAATTAATATGTATTTAAAAGATGAAACAAAATTAGGCATTACGTTTTTTATTCCATTATAAAACTTTAGAAGACAAGAAAAATTGAAAAAACATTTTAGGCAGAGGTTCATCATTGAATCATTTCGAGAGAAATAAAACAAAAAATTCCATTTGGATATTTAAATATATATGATCAATGAATATGCTTAGCTTTTTTGTCCTTTGTCACTTATTTAGATTTTTATTTCATCTGTATTTCAAATGTCTCTTTCAATCTTTAAATTAAAAAAAAAGAACAACACACAAAAAATATATTATTAGAAGGATTTCATTTTGATAATTTGGGATTTTTTACGGAAAAAAAAATAAGTCGGAAGTAGGAATCACAATTCCACGGAACACATTTCACCTTCATATGGTTCGCTCTTTTTTCGTCATAATTGTCTTGTCTAAAATTCATCCACACCGTAATGTTCTGCATGATGTCAACGCTTGATATTCTTAAACAGATCTTGCATCTCAGAATGAGTATCAGTCATGAAATGAGGAACACCAAGGAACAATATTATTTGTATTAAGAATCCTTTTCTAATGATATCCGATTAGATTTTAAACCATCAAGCAATTTTTTTCAGCTAAAAAATCCCAAAAACTAAACATGAAATCCAAAATAAAATAACAGTGTATATTATTATGTAGAAAAAAAAATTATAGAAATATTTATCAAACATTTAAGAGAAAAAAAATCAGTTAAAAAAACGTTATTTAAAAGCTTACACCAACGTATTTATCAATCAATCCATGAATTTGTCTCAAAGAGATTTTGACTCACCCTCAGTTTCAATCGCACTTTTAATACATTTAAAAAAAAAGACATCTGAAAAAAGATTACGGTTTTTTCTTTGGAAACAACACAGATAATACCGAATCGTGTTGACATTGTTAGAAAAAGAAATTCTCAATTGTATTAAACCATTTGACATGATTCAGTTGATGAGAACGAGAGAGAACCGAGTATTTATAATCGTTAGTTATTGATTTGTTGGCTGAAAAATGAACAAATGCAAAGCGATTATATATACATTTTTCTTTTCTCTTGTAGTTCAAATAACACTTTCTCTTCGGGTCCCATCGACAGAATTATAACAGTACAACTTTCGTTTTAACAGAGCATCTTGATTTGCTGCTGCTCAGCATATAGCTGAGAGCTGAGAAATGCTGAACTCGTGCGGCTAACGCATACGAAACGGATGGCACGCACACATGCATTCTCCCCGTTTAAACGGTTATAAACAGTTGATTGGACGTTCAATTCAAAACTCAAAACTTAGTAACCAGTTGAGTTTGAAATTGTGTTGCGACCGACATATGAGAAGCTGCGAGAAAAACATCACGTCGCATCCCTCGTTATTTTGCTTACGTAAGTGAAAGCAAGAGATGAGATGCGACGTGCTGTTTTTGCTCTCAGTCTTTCATATATTCTGAAAGTGTACGTCTAACGCATACGAAACGGATGCACGATACATATTCCCCTTTCACTTCGTATGTTCGCTGGTATAGTGTGTAACAGCACATACGAAGCGAAAGGGGAATATGTATCGTGCATCCGTTTCGTATGCGTTAGCCGCACGAGCTCAGCATTTCTCAGCTCTCAGCTATATGCTGAGCAGCAGCAAATCAGGATACTCTGCGTTTTAAAAATATAAAATTAATAATAAACGTGTTGAATAAACAGAACTAAACAAAAATGAAAAGCTCATAATCAATTTTAAACAGACAGTCAATATCGAAATACCTATCGCACGGTTTTCAATTTCTGTTTCTCATTTTTTTAATCGAATTTCATTTTTTTTTTGTTTTGATTTTATTAAATGCCAATTAATAACATTATCAACAATAATAATAAACAAGATTCCAAGCTCGCTAAATGAGATTTACTCTATGAGATCCGCTTTTGTTTTCAAACATTCGTAATATTGCGACGATATATGGGCGATCTTTTTTTAAGTCTGGATTTATTGAAACAATTGTTTGCTTTAGAACTTTGATTGAATTATTTGTTATGTTTGAAAAACAAAAATAAAATTGTTTTGATATTGTAATTTTAAGAAACAAATAATAACATTATAAAACATATCAATTTCGAAATTGTTTTTATCCCATTATTGCCATTGATTTCTTCGTCGAGCACACCAACAATTCATGAGTCAAAAAACGAACCGTTCTGTTGAACCACGGTAGAAATTCTACACAAAACAGTAACAGTTTTGGTCATCAATTTCGTTTTCAATTTGTGTTTATTTATTTTTTTCAACACACGCACACATGCCATTGCTAATGTGAACGTGACATAATAATGTGACATTCGCCATTAGAGTGCACAACGGCAGCGGTCGAACCGTTCCGTAGACGTTTGTTATTGACTGTCAAATAAGACACTTCATATTAGCAGTGAAATTGTGAACGCTTCATTGTATTGTACGCTGTGTGAATGAATTTGGTTTGTGTATGTCCATATATTGTATATGAAATATGAACGTATGAAATTCCAGCACAGTATGAAATGTTCGGTCGAAAATTGAATTGAGTGGAAAAATCTGGAATATTGTGTGTGTGTGTTTTATTTTTTCATGCGAAAACAAGGTTCTAAGTATTTGACATTGGCACATGTGTGTTGGCATTTCCACAAATAATTTTCACTCATTGGAATTTTCACAATCCATTGTCGTATTCCCCCAAAAACGAATGCAATACAATATTTTCCGCTACCACATATACAACAACATCGAGATCCACATTGACGTATTTCACGTTCAAGCATCAAAGTGTACAATAGTGGCACACAACAATCAAAAGTGTTAGTTTCGTGTTGGCGATTTATTTTTTATGTATGAATATGAAAAATAACAACGAAAAATAAATAAATCCGAAATATTAAATCAAGAACGAAATCAAAAGTAGCATAACGCATCGCGACCAAACCGACAAATCCGTGTTCACATGCCCAATATAAATGCAGACAAAGCGTGTTCGTAACAAATACAACAATTCGTTCAGTGCATTTACACCGTAACCAAATACAATATACATCATACAACAGCCGCCGTAATGAGCGCTGAGCCAACAACACATAGAGTATTCTCCGATTTAGTCTTTAGTCTTTAACAGAGTGTCGTCGAATTGTGTTGTACACGTGTCGCGTTTCAGCCTCACAAAAAAAAATTGAAGGAATTTTTTTTTTCAAACTGAATTTGTCTCTTTATCTATTATTATTTTTTGTTTTGTTTTGTGGAACACCATTTCTCTGCACTACACCATTTTACTGAACATGGTAAATAAATACAACGAATAAATATTAACGTAAACCAAAAGAATAATAACTGAGGAAGACTAGCATGAGAAAATGAAATCAACACAACATTAGATTATAATTTAAAAAAATTGAAATTGGTCGCGATTGCAACATATAAACGAAACAGTTGTTTTCTGTTATTCCAATTTCAAACGAACAGTGAAAAGTTATTTGAAAGAATAAAAAAAAGAAGTGCATTTTATTTCTGTGCAATCGAATCGGGGGGACCGTTGTTTGGAGAAAACGCGTTCGTCTGTGCAAATGGTTTACCAAATTGAATACTAAAAACAATTGAATTGTACTTTTTTTGACATCAAATTGCAAAAAAACCATCGCTGTTTTTCGGAAAGATTACAACGTACCCAGAAGTAATTGCAGAAACGTTTTTCGGGAAGAAAAAGAAGTAAGAAAACAGAAGTAAGTAAATGACATATTGTGTTGATTGTACGGTGTAGTTAAACGTCACATACGTTGTTGTTTTTTTTTTTTTACATTTGAATGTTGAGTATCTGATGTGAACATACACGTGTGTATGTTTTTATTCGTTCTAATTTTGTGGCCGTTTTCTGCCTGTCTCTCACTTTCAATACATTTTTTCGCTACTGTTTTTTCTATTGTTGTCACCGTTGCTGCTGCTGTCGTCATATTTTTATGCATTCGATGTACAGCTCTTGTGCATGCGGTGGTAGCGCATGGTGAAGGTCTCCGCACTTCATATCTGCCAAAATGAACACACATGAATCACACAAGTGATGTCATTTTTATCCAGTGAATAAATAATATTCGAAACACATTCAGTTATTAACAAAACACAATGGTCAACGCTTGTAAAGATTCAACGAAGAAAATGAGACAAGTTTTAATTGGTCTGCATAGAATAAGGGGGGCTAGATAGAAACAGTAATTAACATAAAAACCAAAATGAAAAAATGTTTGAAAAGTGTCTTTAAGCAAATGAAAGTGGCGCAAATCACAGGCACAACTCGTACGCCATTGAATTATTCACGTAAAAGCGAAAGTATATGTTGGCTTTCTTTAGCACAAGTGAAAAACCAACATACATGTTGATAACCACAGGGATCATTTTTGGAATTGAATCTAGTACTGCTTTTCCTCTTGGATACAATAAAGTTGTTTTTGAGAGTATGCGTCAATATCTATTGCGTACCTGGAATTTTCTGAAATTTTTCCTCTCAAAATATATAGAAATATCGATAGGAAACCTTACAAACTTATACTTTGATTGGATTCTAAGCCAAATGTTTCGCAAATATTCTTTGTAACAGTAATAAACAATGACGATATAATGAAATTCAAAGAATGAAAAAACTTATGATGACCTTATATCTACAAATAAAAAAAGAAATAAAAAATAAAAATTGATTTGCGGTATTTTGGAAACGGTGTTATAACTCGGCAGCTAAGCGATGTAAATCACTATAATTGTTTATTTCTTCATTTTTCGCTGAGCATACATAACACTCTCCATACATGGTATGATTGGCTGATGAAAGAGTTTTGTGTCGGACTGGTTAACAGTTGGGATAAAATGAGGAATTAACAATTCAAAATTAATTATTTCATTTTTGCTTAGCCAGTGAATTAAATAGAAAACCAAAATTGATTTTCAAAGGAAAACTATACCATGCTTTCTTTCAGTTTATGAACCCCAAGCAAAAACATATGAAAATAAAAAACATCAGTTCATCTTCTTCATGTTATCGTTCGATATCGGTTCATTTGAAATTCGTTTAATTACACACGTTGCAAACGATAGAATTTGATTTTGAACCGGTTCACAGATGTTGCAACAGCTTGAAATTGAAAATAGACAATTAAATTGAATTTCATGTTTTTGTTTTTGGTTCGAACAAAGCGAAGCAACAAACCTTGGCACCTTTGCTGAGAGAATTCAATTTTCTCCGCTCATTTTAAATTCTTATCTCTTTTTTCCATTCTTAAAACTCTATTCTTATCGACTAAAAGCAGAGCGTGTAATAAGGATTCGACTTAACTACCCAACATTTTGTGTTTTGACATCCGAAATTGTATGAAGACTTAAAATTGTCTTTTTCCGTTGCAAAATGTGTAGTGGAGAGTTTTTTTGGCACGAGTTTTGCGATACAAATCATTTTCGACGCACTTTTTAAGCAAAAATCATCAAAACTTTGGATTTTCGTATTTGGAGCCATGCATGTACTATATGATATCGTAATGACTTGAAACTTTGCATATGTTACTTTTTTAACAAGAAACATTTTGAAAGTTTGAAAAAATTTCAATGAAATCTGTTTTTTGCCGAAAATCTTGTATTTTTCATTAAAAAAATTTCAAACTCCGTGGTATTTTTGTAAGAAAAAGAACAAGTTTTCACTACGGTAAATATACATTTTGAGAAGAAATCCAACCAATTTCGATTCAACAAACCCAGTAAAAAATTACATCAGAATTTTTGACTGCCGGTTTTCTGCACAAGAATTTTTGAAAATGATGATGTATGCTGGATTTGGTTGCATTGCTTCTGTTTCGACTGTTGTTGCGGTTGGTGCCAATCCAAACGAAGGCAAAGCAAACAGAGTAATTTGATAGTTTTTCTCACACATAACAATCAAGTGAAAACAAAACCATGCTTTCGTGATATTGAGAAAGCGGTCGATTTGATTCGGTTTTGATGGTGATAGTCAACATATATGAAATGCTATCAATAATGTGAAATATTCAATGATACAATCACAACAATTTTTTAATACATAAAGCGAATACATGGTATTTAGTGAGTGTTAACAATTGATGAAATGAATCAATGCAGCGGAAAACTAGCTCTTATTTTCCTCCTAAATAATAATGCCACATAAAGTAAACCATCAATAAAAAAAACTTTATGTTACAGTATTATTTGGATCAAAATAAGTGCCAGTCTTTCGCTGCAACGATGTAAATATCGTTCATCCCATGTTTCACAACGATTCTCTTTGTGTTGCGCATTCTCATTTGTTGAACGTACGACTTTGAATTCACCGCGGTGTGTTTGCCAAAAAACTATTATATTTTACCGATTTTTTTTTTGAAAGAAGAGAACATGACGATTGAATTTTTTATTCAAATTTGAAAAACAATATCAATACACTGTACACACTGTTTGAGTTGTAGTGAAGCGATAGAAAAAAAAGAGAATGAAAAAAGGTGAACGTAGAAAAACACAAACTTGTTATATTAGATGCGAAAACACGAAAAATTGACATTTTTTTCATATTTTCCGGTTAATGTGTTTGTGCGATGAAAATGGAATCGAAAACCAAATCCCATACCTATTATAATTGAATAAATAAATTTCGATGGTGTGGATAATGTGGATAGTGATTCACCCCTTAGGACAAACACACACACGATCTTCTAATGATATTTGTTTCCAGTCGATGACACTTTACGTGCCTGTATGTGTGCATTTGTTTTTCGTTTTCGATTGCTCGTTGGATATGCTTTTTGATCAGTTGTTAAAACTAATATTGATGAATACTCAGAAAAAAAGTAATCGGAGCTAAAAAATGTATGGCAAATGGATATAATACAACATGATACATTCTTGTTCACACATTTACGCTATTGTCTAAAAATATACACGCATACAAAACGATATATATAATGATGGCATCGTGGTTCGTCGTTTATTTACTTTATGTATGCGTTAATAAACTGGCATAAAATCACTTTTGTTACTTTTCCCGTTTCGTAATGTGTAACCATATTAAAGTTTTATATTAATTTGATATGGACTAAGAAAATAGCTAACCGTAGAGTTGGCTAGATATATAACCCAGATAGATTTGTAAATGGAGTGTTGAACGTTTTCGACTAACGCACGCATAAATGTCGCAAAATCGAAATGTACCAAATATCCGTCGTTTCCGAATATATCTGGCACATCTATCTAGCCAACTCTATTGTATGAAAACAAAGAAAACGAAAACTAAGTGGTGCCATTAAGTAAACAGATAATCATGATGAGCTTGAATAATATGGGGATGTTTTTCTTCGCCCCCACAAAGTTCTTAATCACACAAAACCAACAGCGCGCTTATTTTTAAATTTTGCTTCAAATTGAATGTTATTTCGTCATCGTATCTGAAATCGTTGATTGAATGTGTAATAAATGTTGTTGGTATTGTATTTCTTATTGAAATTTCTATGTACCGTGTGTGGGTGGGTTTTGCGTGTGCTTTTGTTTACTCGCTTTCATCATGATAGCCGGTATTCTTTACTTCGTTTAATTATATACAAAATATCAATTTTTAATCACCAAAAATTGTGTTAGTTGGATGACATATTATTTATTTCATCTATACCGATAGAAGCTTTTCGAACACAACGGAAATAATGTATATGTTTCGGGTTTAACTTTAGTTTCAGAATGCCTGCACCACAAATGGATGGATCTGGACCCAGATCCGAATTACAGGAGCTGCAAGTCAAAGCAAATCAAGTTGCTGACGAGGTAATTGTTTAAATACAAGTCGAAATTCATTAGCACATTCGATTCGTTCAATTGATATATTGAAACCGTAAAAGTAATCCAACTTGGTAACGAGCTTTTGATTATAATCGCTAGGTTTTAACCATTTCGAACCAAAAAATAATAATAATATAATGCGCTATTTATTTTCATTTCACTTTATCACATATTTCTTATTTACAGTCACTGGAGAGTACGCGCCGAATGATTCAACTGTGCGAAGAGGTAAAACTATTCATGTGCATATCATTCAAATTTATGTAGCAAGCATAAAACGAAATGAAACAAAACGACACCTAATTTAGATCAAGATAGGTCTGTTTAAAGTATTTCAGTAGGGTTCAGAAATTACCTAAACAGTGAATTATAGATAAAAAAGAAACTTTCACACCCCCAACACACCAGATAAGTTTTATTCAATGTGAATCTATTGAACTTCAAGTCTTCCTAATTGAATTTCACGTCTGCATCATTAGTGAAATCGCATGAATGCGTTAACTCTCTCCTACTATGGTTGTGCTATCGCGATCATTCACTATGTGTTATAGATATTGTTGTTTGTCAAACAATGAGAAATCGATTATTTTCGTGTGTCTTTTTTTTCTCACTCTCTACACATTCCCTTCTGTAATGATAATAATATTAATAATAATTGGTACATTTCCATGTAGATTTTAGCGTCGAATAGACGGAGAGTAGTAGTTCCAAACATGCATAGTAGGCCCCTTTGGTTGTTGTTTTTTTTAAAATTCATGTTCTTTGTATTCGTTGTTATAACTTTTGCTCATTTTTCTCTGTCTCCAAACCGTATTGTTGGCTCTCATCCTCTTGTCAACCTGCTGTGTCCTACTCTTTTCATTCTTTGTGTCGATGTAATAAAAAAGTGATGTGTGTGTGCATATAATAGAAAAAAAAACCAGAATCTCCGATTTAATTTATCAGTTGTGTGATTTCAGTGTCGTTCCGTTGTAATCAAAGGAAGTTTGTCATAAATAAAAACGAAAATCGGTATATATCAGTATATATATTGTGTCCATGTCAACCGGCTAAGCCTATGAAGAGACAAAATGCGAATTCCCCTCATCTGTGCCATCTTGTATTCCATAGTTGAACTCAATTTAGTTACAATGAATTGAATCGAAAAAGAGAAAAAAACAACAACAGTAACATGGCTACATAGATCTGTTGACCAGTGAGATACGTATAACAATAAAATGAAAGAATGAAGAAAGCGTATATGTGTATGTATGCATCAGCACGCATAGATGTACAGCTCTGTGTGGCCGTGCTATTGTTATTGTTTTTTTCTCTTTTTCATTTCAATGCTACAGAATTAAATTCAGTTTTTCGATCTAATTCGAACTAATGTGAGATGGCGCTGATCAGCTGCGTTCGCATAAAAAAGTTCCCAATCTCATATACGTCAACCCCGCTTGGTCCATGTTCATTCTTCCTTTTTTTTTGTCTCAATTTAAACATTTGTTTTCTCTTCCATTGATGTTGTTCTCTATTCTCTATTATTTACTCTATTCTTTTATGTGGATTTTTAATTTATTCATTCTTGTCGTCGGTGTAGTTATTTGTATTCCGTAACTTAACGAAACACTTGTCGATTTGTATTTGTATTGTGTGGCTTGAAATTGAGTAAAAAAATATAATAATATTGAAGTAAAGACTACCCATCTACCCTACTCCAAAACGTCAGGCTCAGAGCTCAACTAATGTTATATCACAGCATCTTCGATTCCTTTCCATTTCCCGGCTCAATGAGAGGGAAAAAATGGAAAACGAACAACTAGATTGTTTAATCGCCAACAAGATCTTTGATATGGAGATTTAAGCACCATATTACCCAACTACCGTTCTCTATATCTCATTCAGCCTGCTCATCAACGACAACGGCGAATGCTTATCGCATCACCGATATGTTGGGTGTGTGTGTGTGTGTGTGTTTGCATCAGATAAGTCTTGCACATATTCAAAGTGCTGTTATTCTTTTCGTGTTGCATTGAATTTATGAGACAGCATCGACATTTTGACGTTCTCTGGAAGCATATCAAAGTTTGCTAGTTTTTTTAAAAATAGAACGCAAAAAACAACAACAGCAGCAACAGAGAGAAATACCAATATGTTGAGGACTATTAACACGATGAACAAAAAAGACACGAGTGGAACTAAAGTAGAAAATAGATAAATAGCAACAAAACAAACAATGGAAACGACATGAGATACAAAGCATTAAATATTCGATATAGATCCATCGTCACATTGAAAATCAAGCTTTCTGGACTGAATGGAGCACACTACATAGTTTTCCGAAAAAAAATCTCGTATCACTCTTGATGTATCAAGATTTTTGTGCTTTTCGCTTCACTTTCACACACACACACATACGGAATAAGAAAAGAGCGTTTGCACCACATGCAAAATGTATAAGATGGAATAAAAGACATTTTGCAGCATATTTCATTGCCCAAATGCATTGTCAATACCTTGAACTAATAAGTTGAACACGTGCTGTTGTTTGTCGGCAACTGACATGTACAATTTATTTGTTATACAAATACGCGCATGTATGTACAGATATAGTATATATATATATTTATATGAGTGATTTGAATGCAACTACCGAAAACCTTTTTCATTGTTTCACTGTGTCACCATCAGTTTAAGCAATTTTAATGAACCAAAATGGAAAGTGCAATGAATGTTTTAATGGAACTTAGCATTATTTAACAATGGAAATGTGCCGTTGTGGCAATGATTTATAGACAAGATTCCATCACATCATGTAGAGGTAATGTGAAAGGGCCTGGCTGTGACATTTTATATGCTGGTGGCAAAACAGATACATATTATTTCTTTGGACAATCAATTGTCAGTCTCAACAGAAGGAAAAAAAAAACGATTTCTTATGGGTGCAAGTGTCAATAGAATATAGTTTTTTTTATATATACAAAATAGTATTGCGATTTTATCTCGCTGCCTGTCATTTACGACGATGACAATTTTCTGCTCCGTTGTATTGCACTTTAGTGTTGTGATGTATCTGTTTAAGCTCTCTTTCATTCTTTCAACTCTCTCTCTCTTCATCTGCATCATGGAATGCTTGGTATATATCGAACAAATTTGTATGCATTTTTAAAAATATGGAAATTTAAAGTAAGTTTCCAGCAACAGAGCCTGTTATATATGTTTGAACGCGCTTTGCAGTAAAATATGTATACTTTCGCTTGTACACAACAACGATTACATTGTTAGATTCGTTCATTTATGTGTACTATATGTTTTAGTTTTTGGCAATTTACTTGCTCGTTTCATTCTTTCACAGCTCTACTTGAAAGATCTATCGTTAGACACAAGATTGAAATCATTCAAATGAATGTAAAATTGTTTCTTTTGAAAAATTAAATGCCAACTTTTTTTGCACATGGTAGCTTCAAGCATAACAGCATTTCTTTACACGAAAAATGTTACACGAATTAGATCAATTGTTACACGATGTCTTCGTATGGATGGCGCTGCGAACAGTGCACCATACATCTTTTGGTAAGCTATCGGCGATGAGAAAAATGAGAATGAAAATGCATGGCAATATATAAGGTTCTAAAAATTGGTGCATATTTTTAGCAATATGTGCATTTTTTATGAACTTATGGAACGAAGAAAACCTTTTTACAGAATGTTACACTGACATTTTGCAATTTTACGATCGTTATTTCCAGCCAAATGTATTTTAAATGATTGAACTACTATACATATACATTTCGGCCAAAAATAAAGTTCGGTGTCAATTAGAAAATGGTGGTACTTCATTCAACCTCACATTGTATTTTCAGTATTATAAAACTGAAATAATCCAAGCAAATATCGAGCAACAAAACCGGTCAACCAGGACGTCTGACATCGAGTGAGTCGTCAACGTATATTAGAGGGTAATTTAAATGCATTACACTATTAAACGCGTTACTTCAATTACAATAAAACAACGAAATTGAATATTGTCAGGAAATGACGGGGAAAAATCTGATTTGATATCAAAATAAAACTAAAAATATTTGTTTTAAAAATACATGCAGACAATAACTATGATTCATTTAACGAAAAATCAACAAATTCTAAGTTGTTGGCTAAACATATCGCTGCACATAAATCCAAATGAATTATTAAAAAATATTCGGAGCCATACATATACAAATACATGTGCGAAGAAATATAATGAAAATTATATATAAAATATAATAGCTTTTGCATCAGCAGCAGAAGCAGCAACAGCACCAACAACAGCAAACATACAACATGTATTGGCGAAGAGAATGGATAGGAAATGGGATTTTTGATCGGTACAGATTTTATTAAAAGCCAGAACTTGAGTCTCTATCTCTCTTTTTTGATCCGTTCAAGCTCTGACATTGGAGCCATTCAAGCTTCTTTATAAGCGTATGCTGGTAATCTGGTTGAACTGCATGACGTGCCGTGAGTTCGAAAAATGAGTATGTCTGTATTCGCCACATCTACATGTATTTTGGAATAAAATGCTGAGTTCAACGTATAGCTTCTGGTGGTAAAAAGAGAAAAAGAGAGAGAGAGCGAGATGAGTCTGTTTGAGCGCAGTGGTTGGTTGATCAAAGTTTCGTGCAGCTATATGGCATGCAATACATGCTTTGACACAAGCTTTAAATTTTATTTTGTAAATGTTTGAAAGAATTGCTGCAAGCGGATCACCTTGCGTCGCGATTTGTCTCGTAATTCATTCATTCGTACAGTGCGCTTTTTTTTCTATCTGCTATATCCTATTTTTTATATTTTGGCCGCAATAACAAAGAGCTGCTTGCACTAAGGCAAGTAAAGCATATATTTTATGCAAAAACCGCCCCGAATAAGCAATGTACCTACTCACAAAGTCGTTCTATATAGAACATTTATTTGTTTTTGCCTCTGTTTGCTCAGTCTTCTTTTTTTCATTTTGTTCACGCACATGTGCGATGGTATTCGAGTCAGGCACTTTTGTTTCGAATTTCAATGGCGAAAAAAAGTCAGCTGTCATGCTAAATCATTTTGCGTTGTTGGTATTATGATACATTCATACACATGCACCGAATTAAAATGCTCACACTATTATCGTAACGCTCTCAGACATAGCATTAGCAATAGCAGCCAGCTTACAAGAAAACCCAACTCCGAGAATCGATTCGGAAGCCTAACGCCGCTGACGAACCGAATTTCGAGAGAGAGAGAGAGAGCGCGCAATTCAACCGAATGTAACAAGCACATTCATATTGCTCATCTAACCAATTGTGATACATTAGAACGATAACATTTTCTTAAATAGAAGTACAAATTACGCCATCTTTATAAGTACATTAAATATAAAATTACCATACATTTTCGCCATGCCGCTTGATTCACTTATACTGAATATGCCACAGTCGGTGGAGTATCGAATAGTCGTTGGCGCTTCGCAAAACATTAAAATCGATGTAGATAAAGATAAAATATAAATGTGTTCTGGGTAGGTGTTGCAACATAAGAACGTAATATATATAAATAAAAAATACCATTTTTGAATGAGTGAAATCAAAATTTAAGAAGAAGCGGCAAGAACGAAAACACGTGGCAAGGCACAAATGTAATCAGTAAAATACAGTCAAGAGTACGAATCACAAATGAACTACTAAAAAGAGATAAAACGAAATCAAATGAAACAACACACACCACAAAATATTCGAAGAGGTGAATGTGTTCGCGTAAAAGAGACAGACAAAATGAAGAGAGAAAAAGCATCAAATCAGAAGGGGGAATTGTGACAAAAAAAATATGAAGAACATTTATCTGCAAGGCGAATGTGTTAAAGGCACTGAACAGCATGTTTATCACACGTTTTTTTTTCTCTCGCCGCTTTGTGTGCATTCATTTTTATCATCGTTATTTCCGTTCTTTGCTTGGCTGGTTTCATTTTTATTATGCATTAAATACATGTTTGAGTGCATGTATTGTATGCAAGATTCAACTTGACTGTAAATATTGCTCTGTTCCTTTTTCGGTCGTTTTATCGTTCGCATTCGTTTCTCTTTTTTTTTATTCGATTTTCAGTTTTGAAAAGTAGTCTCGCACACACTCCCGAGAGCACTTACTAGCTTCGAGATATTGAATCTCCCAAACATTTTTATATGGATTCGTTTGTCACATACAAGTTTACAGTGTTTCTTGTTGCTGCTCAGCAAACTATTTTACACAAAGAAAGCGAAGCGCCTGGACCAAAAATAAAAAAATCGACGAAGCTCCGAACTTTAACTTTTCCACCCAACTTTTCATATATATTTTGCAAAAATGTATATCCTAATGAGATAATAAGATTTTTTTCGCTCTTCTTCACTTTCAACGATCGAGTCCAAAATGTTCTCTCGTTTCTTTTTTTCAACAACAACCGAAAAAAAAATTGATGGCATCTTAAATGGTAAATGTCTTTCCGTATTGTCTCGTTCTCACAGTTTGTAATGAACAAAAATTTATTTGCAATGATTTCGCGTGGTTTTTTATTTAACATTCAAGTGAATTTTCATTTTATGAAAAATGGCAAATGACTGGATAGAAATGTACAGCAAGTCGCGTACTCACAATTTATATCTTTGTGCGTGGTAATCTAATCACATCCGTTTTTGTCTATTCATTTTCGTTTCACACACACACACACACACACACACACACACACACACATTTTTCGACACTCACTCGATATTTGAAATGCTTCGAATGAAACTTAAATCATATACTTCACAGCTACCATTGAGAGTTACCATTGTAAAAGCTTCTCCCACGCTGCCTGGCTCTTATACAAAGTTTACTTTTAAAACTAAAGGGTGTATTTGAAGTATAGAAAAAAAAAGACTCATGTCTGCTTATAAAAAACGAGAGAATTCGTTGTTTAATCAATTGTGCTCGAACTATTGAAAAGTGATTTCAGTTCGAAAATGGAAAATGTCATTTTCGTTCAAACGAGAAATCGGATGTTGAACAGTTGCAATCAGTGAAAATTTATTAACGAGTAATAATGTTGTCGGGAAAACAATACGTATGTTTTATAAACATGAAAATGCAAACGAAGTTTTCGAATTATGTCGAATTTTATCGACACAAACTGAGTCCCAAATTATCAGGTGTGCAATATTCATTGTCCTACATCCAAACGTAAAGCATATCTGCGGATGAAAATTGTGAAATATGTCAGCCATTGCACACTCTCCGTAATCATAACACATACACATATGAGCATTTTGCACTTGTCGGATGTGCGAGAGAGAAAAGTGTGAGCACACAGCAGTAAATGCCAAGCTTCTCATTAATAAGAAGAACATGGACAAGAGTTAGCCATAAACTTGGAGGATGCTTCACGAAAATAATATAAACGGAATTATGCTTTCTAATACGTACGTTAAGCTTAGATCAGCTGCAATCAGAACAATTACCATTTTCTACTCGTTGAATGTCAAAGATAGACTATGAATATTGAATATTTTGGATGGAACATGGCCACTAAAAACTTTCGAATCTATACTGTTGTTATTTTGAATCATTTTTTTTAATGATAAGGAGCGTTTGGATTTTTCATTTCGTTTTGTTCGTTCTATCTATCTCAATTTGATTTGTGTTCTGTGTGAATTGTGTATTCACGACGACGATTTGGTAAGGATTCAAAGAATCGAGCGAATTTTTCCGATTACACGAATTCTCACTGAACTTTTTGGGGCGAATGAGTTTTTGATATATGTGTTAGAAAAAAAAGTTTGGCAAATGCGATTCATCAGCTACTGCTAATTCAATTGGATGAACATGTGCGTTTGATAACTGCTTTTTTCAGAGATCAAAATGCGTTGATAGATCCATTAACGCAAACGAAATAAGCGTCTTTCGTCTTATTGTTGGCCGTCAGTGCATGTGTTTTTATGTATTATGTGAAACCTTCCAAGCGACACAGTTCAATTAATTGCCAAAGGAACACAGTCCATGGACTACATAGTTGACCGCCAAAAGCACATGCTGCCTATACCATTGACATTGAACATTGTCTCTGTTTTGTTTTTTAATCTCCACATTATATTTTATGTTCTATCATTTCATTTCGACGAAAGTAATTTTAATTTTGTCGTTTTTTTTCTACATTTACAATTAATTAATATTTTCTTCTTTAGTAAAAATTAATTTCTTTTATATTGATTTTGTTTCTTTATTTATTTATTTATTTTTTTCATTTTATTTTCGGTATATTTTCGTTTTTCGATCCATTGCCATTGGTTGGAATTGGGAACATGGTGTGCAGAGCCAAGATGCTGGTACAAAAACCTTGGATTTGTTAGAACATCAAGGCGGTAAGCATATTATATTTTTTTCATTAATTTTGCGATCGAATCCACTCATTTCGGAATGTTTTTTGGTAATTGCCGAAATTGTAAGTTTTTGCAAAAACATCTGACGCCATTTCTATGTAATGAATCCATTTAATCCATAAGAAGTGAATGTTGAATGTGGTGTTGGTGATGGTTTTCGTTTTCTTCTTTTGAGCTTGATGTGAAATGACCAAACCTTATGCGAGACAAACATCGTTTTTTTTTTGTTCGTATCCACTGAAGTAAAGAGAAAACTTTTCGTTTTTCAGTTTCAAAATCCACTCCTTGCATGCGTGTTTTGTGTTTCGATTTAATTCGATTCGACTCATACGTCTGTGCTTTGTGTCTTTCAACGACTTTTCGGTTTGGCATTTTAATACTCTTTTGTGTATAGTGTGTTGGCACACACCATTTGTGCTGTGTCCTATGCTCCTTAAAATGATGATGGCACCGCAACGAAAAAAAGAAAAGAGCAAGAAGTTTAGATTTATTAATGACAGGAAAATGGGTTAAGAAGAGAGGTGGTGTGTTATGATGAATATGGTGAGCAAATTGTTCGAGCATTTGTTAAGAGAAGAATGTATCACATCTAATCTCGAAACAGCATGTGGGCAACTGTAGATTTAGAACAAACGAACAAGATGAACAAAATCAACCCACAAAAATTACCAACTAATTTTTTTAATCAGATAAATTGTTTCTATCGGTTTTGGGATAAATCATGAATTGGTTGTTATATTTTTTTTTAATGGGAACAAATCTGATGCAAGTATCCCTAAAATAGATAGGCCAAGTTACTCTAGCATGAAAAAATGAGGAAGGTTCATAAAAAATCCCCTTCTTCCATTTTTGCCAGAAAAAAGTTAGATTAATTTTAATGGAATCAATATCGATTAGGCTTGGGCGTTAGAATGTATTGTTCTTATCGATTTTTAATTGATTCGTTCGTCTCGTTCACAGATCACAGATAATTCATTCTTTTTTAATGTTGCAATTGACTCCTTAGAGATAGATGGTGCATTGTTGTCGATTTTCTAATGAATGAAGTAGGCTTTTTATTTATCATACAGTCAGGTTGGAAAATCAAGCCACAATTAGGGAATCAATATTAAAAACAATACTTTGACATACAAACAATCAAACACAAAAACTATTCTTTCAAAAGAAAAAAGCAAATTTTAATTGAAATTCCTAATATTTTTCAATTAGTTTTTTTACAACAATATTTCGTTTGAAATTTTCAAAATATGTCTGTGAGATTGAATTCGGGATTACAAAAAGTGGATACTCAAAAAACGCAACATAAATTGTATTCATGACATTTATGTTGAATTTTTAAGAATCCATTTATTTGTAATTCAGAATTTATTCTCCTGCATACACACATTTATTTACTTCCTAGTTATAAATTTGTCCAAAGAATAGTCGTAAGGAAAAAATAATAATTTGGTGTGGTATTTAATTTTACTGGTTACTGCAAATGGTAACAATGAAAAATATTAGGTACGAGTAGATAATAATCCAAGTAGTAATTTGAAAATGTTCTTGAATTGTTTCCAAAATATCAAGTCGGAACTTTTTGACAGACGGCATAAGCTCCCACATATATACAAACCCATTGCACATGCAAAATTGTGTTATATGGTGTAAAAAAAATTATGTTTTTGGTCGTCGATTTAATCCGCATTTTATAATATTTAGAGTACTGAGGTTGGAATGCGCACGATCGTCATGTTGGATGAGCAAGGAGGTAAGGGAAACAGTTGTATTTGTAGCAAATGGTGTAATGAGAAAGCATTTTCGACTGTAACATTTTATTTCATTCGTTATACTGTTGTTTTTTTTTCCTTTGCGTTCACATGTTAGTACTGCTGTTCGGTTTTAATTCTGGTTTTTTTGTTTTAGTTCACTTTATCCCCCATTTTTGTTGGTTATTTTATTTTGCAGAAATATATAGATATATGTATATATACAAAAAATGAACGAACGCGATAAAAAAAAGGCCGAATATCGTTGAATCATATAGTATATACGAATTTTCATCTAAACAATGTTGTAATTTGACCACACAAATTCAATATTTTATGTCTGATATTGTTTTTTTGCCTGTTTTCCTCGAAAACCTAAATCTACGAAAACATTTCGCAGACAACCACATCCTCTCATTTCACATAGAATCAAAACATTTCCCAAACATATTTGTGTGCAACCGTTCTTTTGCACACCGAAAAATGTCCTTTTTGTATGTATTTGTGTGTGTTTGTGTGTTATTTTCTTGGTAAATTTAAATTTATAAACCGACGCTACGACGAACGAAGCAGATGGACAGACAAAGAGAGAAGGGAATGGTTTCGCCAAAAACACCAAATAACAATGAATATAAATGCGTTGCGAATGTGAAATTGGGAGAGCAAAAAACATGGATCACAATGACACGAAGGAATGAAATTAATTTTTTTTATTATTTTCATTCATTTCTCTCTCTCTCTCTCTGCCGTCAATTTTCAATTTTTTTTGTCAATTGATCCTTCTCTCTCTCTCTCTCTCTCTCTCTCTCTCTCTCTGTCCTTCTGTGTGTTAAAAATGCGTAAAATACAATAAATTGAACACGCAATTCAATTGAAACCAATATGTCAAGGCGTTGATCTATGTTGCTGTCCACAAATTCGTCGAAAAAAAATGTTGTGTGCGTTATTGTACTTCGTTTTTTTTTTGTTTTACATAATTCGTGCACATCAATATGTGCCAATCGTTGCGTGCGTGCCTTTTTTTTATTTTCGTTCGATATGCAATATTCAGTTGTCAATATTTTTCATTGGTTTATCCATAGATCATCCGTACACATCATAATTACATAAAGCGTTAAAGGTTTTGAGTGTTACTTTTATTTTTATATCATTCGTCTGTTCGTTTCTAGTCGAATGTTCATTTCACGTGAAACATTTAAAAGTATATTGATTCACGAACGAAATAAATTAAAATAAAATATTAAAATGCAGACAAATGAAAAAAAGCTCTTGATGCAATAAAATGTGTACATAGTTCTAAAGTGCCACGAACCATTAGCGATACATCAAATGAAGGTCCTGAACTAATTTCAACTAACGCACCTATTTTAACTAACGCACCTATTTTTATATGCATAGAAGAACGAAAGCTAAGTGCATTTTTTTTTTGTTAAAAGAAATTGAAACATCACAAAACCATAATTTTCTGACATTCACCAACAGTAAAGCGTTGAATTCAAACGCATTTCATGCAAAAACGTTAGAAAATGATAAGGTCGGCGTACACTATATGCGAAGCTCTTGAAAAAAATCTACAGTATTTGATATTTCGAGAATAGCATTTCGAACATTTATATTGTTTTGTACATTTCAAAGTGGTGATTTAAACAATAAAATTGGATAGAAATATTCAATTATTATCATTGGGTGGTCATATGACATATCGATCTGATGCCAGTTATGTTTCATCAATCCAAATATGTTTCTCACAAAATATGCAAAAGCATGCTTGTATGAATGCATTCATACCTAAACACTTGCTTTGATAATGATGTATCACGCTTGGTATTTCTTCCACAAAAGCATTTCATATTCGAATCATAATCTGTGACCAAATTTTAGTTTCAAAGCACTTTCTTAGAACATCATGAGCCATCAGAATAATGATAATAAACGGTAATAAATGAGAGACACAGACGATTATACAAATGATAATTGATCAAGCATACAACGGTATAATTTCATTGAATTGCATTTCAGAGAATGTGGGCGGAATAGAAAAGGCGGAATTGTCGACACAATATAATCAGATATTAAGCTCATTTATTTGTATCTGCATACATTTTGAATGTCCGAAAATAAAATTGAGTTATATTGAATCGAAACTTCATCGTACCGCTTTATTAAATTGTAGAAATGTTCTAGTAGAAATTCTCGGATATTCATTTGATTCTTTTCATACAAATACACAATTTTGTAATAGTAAATCTGATGATTTTTATTTTTATTTTATGATTTTTATGACATTTTGGACATCTACACTTTTCAAATGCTGCAACATGTTTTGTTTATATTATTATAATATTATTTTTTTATTTTGAATTAAATCAAAACAATCATTTTCGGAATGATATTATAACGTGCTCGGCACACTTCTAATTTATATCGAAAATTACCGTTTGATATATGGGTAATTCATATTGGCATCAATTTGAGCCAAATGGGCATACAAAGATCATATGTTAATGATATTAGAAAAAAATACCGACAATTATATACATTAAGCACACATCACAAACACATTCCATAACTCATTTGATAAAGAATTGCTTCTTCTTCAGCTACAAGATTCATTCATTGCGCTCCATAAATCTTTACTCATGTATTTAATATGTTGAATGTTGAATTTAATTGAACTCACATTTTGTAAATTAGTGCATGCTATTGTATATTCAATCACTTTTGTTCATTGAGCTTGATTTCTATCTGATAGACGAACATTCTAGCTAAATCAAATAATTAAATAAAACTCATATATATATATATATATATGTATATTTCATAGACGCATGTCTCATTTTCAGTGGCATAATTAGTGATATTGGTGGGTTGCGTTTTGTTTAAAAACAAAAAATAAAACAAATGTGGCACTGTAATTTTGTACAAACACTATGGTATATTCAGCAATCACTGCATTAAGTATATTTCATTGTTTCTACAATTGGATTACAATAAAACAAACCGTTAGAGTTACTATAATTAGTAACAGTAATAATAACTACAAATATGACATTTACACGATTCATTTGATAGCATTTAATTCAAATATTGAGCTCAATAATTTATAGACATACTCACAGTAAACTTCTTTTGATATATTTGGGAACTCTGGTGGTGATTTTTCGATATTTTGTCGTTTTTTTTTTTTCATTTATTTGATTAACCTGTATTACGCGTTTATAGCTGCGTTTTTGAATATTTTGACATTCACATAAATGGAGAATTTTTTGACCTTGGACTTTATTATAAAAATATTATTAAAATCAATTTAGAAGCCCCTTGGCTTATTTTCAAGTCTTAAAATTATTCAGTTTATTACTAATTTTATCTCGCGGTATAGCCTGACAATCCACAAATAAATGAATGACCGGTTAATGTTTTGTATTTTCGTCAGCTTTTTTGTGCCTTTGTTTTTGTAAACCACACATATACACACCATCCATATCATAACGGAATGAAGTGAAATGAAAGACTTTTACCTACAATTTAAGTGCGTACTTAAATTTACACAATATAAATTGAAACATTTCTTGATTGAAGTTTGTCCACATTTCATACTTTGTTCTATGTTTGATTCTAAATTGATTGTAAAAGTCTCCCATTCGTTCGTGAAAATTCATAAAGTTAGTTTCTGCTATATTTACGGTTACAATTTTTTGCGTTCTAGATTTTTCTTGATTTGATATTTGTTTGTTCTGGTAATCCATAATTTACGTCTCTCTTTTTTTTTGTATTTCTCTGCTCACCTGTTTATGCTTCATCGAATGCAATATGATGGATTTGCTTGATGCTGTTTGGACGTAAACACGAAAAATTACAAAACAATAGAGCAATTGGATCGCGTGGAAGAGGGTATGGACCAAATAAATGCAGATATGCGTGAAGCTGAAAAAAACTTAAGCGGCATGGAGAAATGCTGTGGCATTTGTGTGCTTCCCTGCAAAAAGTACGTATATCGTTTTTCTATTCAATTGTTTACAGTTAGAAAACACAGAAAAACGAAAAAAAAAAAATACAACAAATATTGTAAACTTTAGTCGTGCCACAATCAATCCTTCCTTTTCTTTCTTATCTCTTCTGTTATCGTTTTTTTTTGTGTCTTTATTTATTTCTTTAAAATCTTGAGTTGTATTTTATTTAATTTATTTTAATCACTACAACAAACCACTATATATATTTTCACATTGTATTTATATGAGATTTACAGGTAAAACTGTAAATAGAGTTATTTGAAGCATCGTTTTCATATAGGCAAAGAACAATAATAAAATTGAAATTAAAGAGAGAAAAAGGGCGAACAGAAGAGAATGGAGAACGTATTATTAAACTTTGAAGTCTTTTCACATGAAGTTTTACATTGCAAATGAATCGTTTGTAAGCTGTACGCAGAAACAGTGCAACCACCAAAACTAACTTAGTTACAACTTTAATGAGTTAATTCAGACATGGAAGACTGTACAATCGAAATAAATTCGCTTGAGCTTTTTTAAACTATTTTTATGAACAACTCTTTCTAGAGTCATGTTCACGACTTTGTCACATCCAATTGATGAAAAAAGGCAGCATACGCTGTAAATCGTATTGAGAATGTCAATATCTCACACACATACCATCGAAATTGGTAGCTGGATTGCGTTCTTTTTTGTCGCTTTTCCCTTTTGTCAAGAATAAAAATTAAACGAAACTACACAACTAAAAAGTGCAACTCAACAAACTTTTTAGAAGGCAATATTTGTGTGTTTTGGGCGTGAAGATTATATAAAAACAGGTGAAACTAACACATTTTCGATATTCAACGTTGTCAAGAACGATAACTTTAGAAGGATAATTTATTTGTGGTAAATAAACGCGCCATTCACATTTAACTATGAATGGAAAGTTTTATAAGCTACATTTCATTTTTTTTTCTGCTTCGTCTTCTGTCATACCTTCCCTTTTTGATGGTTCAAAGTACAGTCAGACATAAAAATAAAGAAAGTATGTGAGAAGGAAAGACAGAGAAGGCGGGACAGTGGAATATCGAGCAACGAGTAAAACGTCGAGAGAACAAAAAAAAGCATGAAGCAAACGAGAAAATTGGAAACGAACGAAAATCAAAAGGCTATCAATTTTGTTTGGTGCTCGTTGGCATCAAGAAGTGTGGTACGAATATTAAATGACATTGTTTGTAAGTGTAGTGCAAGTGAAAAGACGTTGAAAGACACGCATACACATATACAAACACACAATGTGACTTTCAAATAATGTGAAGAGAGATCAATAATCCTCCAGTCCACCAAAACCTCATTTTTCCCTATGTGAAAGATGATAAATTGATATATTTTTTTTTTCAATTACAATAACATTAACATTCATTTTGTTCAATCGATTTTTTTTTCTTCTCTCGTTTTTATTATGATTTCGATCTCGTATGGTTTGGTCCATTGATGTTGTCCATAATTGTCGTTAATATATTGTTGGTTTATTACATTTTTCATTCTTTACAATACGTGAATTTAATATCGTTTATATTTTCCGTAATTCACTGTATACTTTTCTGTTTGATCATGTCCTTGCACCGAAAACTGAATGAAATATCTGATGTCATGTCCAAAAGCATACGTTATGTGTGTGATTCATTGTTGATTGTTAATCAGATTGGTTTAACCGAACAAAAAGAGCAAGCGGTAATCATTTTTTTTGGTTTGGTTTGGTTTGGTTTGGTGAGATAAGCTGAGGATGTGCGAGCTTGGTTTATTACGGTTTGGAAAATGATCGCCATAATAAAGCAATGTGGCAATCACATTATTTATGAAACCGATTTTTCGCCATCGTTGCAGTTTCTCTCACAAAATCTAATCACCAAAATCGCAGCCATAAATCAAATATATGCTTTTGGGCATGGAATCAGCAAATAATTGTGTCATCAATTAAATTTTTATTAAAACTTAAATTGAACAATTATGATTAATTTGATATGGTTGTGCAATGTTCATATATTGTTTTTTTTTTAAAAGGTTTTTGTTGGATTTTTTTGTCTACAAAATAATACAATATACAATTATACATACAAGCCAATACATACTAAACCTGAAACACTCCTCTGACCAAGATTCGATCCTTTTAGGATAAGTGGGACATCAACATACAAAACTTTTTATTCATCTACCTACACAATAAAGCACAACATTTTAACTCATTTCCACACGAGAGAGAATAAAACACACGTTAACACATTTGCTAACAACATGATTTGGATAACAACTTGAACAGAGCAAAAAAAAAAATCAAAATATTTCAGACAAATTAACATAGAACACAATTTGATACACTACAACGAGATTACCTTTGCGAGATGAGAATATCAACACACAGGAATTCAAAATAAAAAAAATGAACAGAAAAAAAAAAAACTATCAGAACATTTAGATAACCGAAACAAAAGAAAAATAACATTCGAATAGAAGTATTTAGTCACAATAAACTAAAACTGCGAAATAAGCACGTTCTATCGTATATACTTTCGCAAGAAGAAAAAGGTTAGGTGGGCTACATTATTATTATGATTTTAATAAAAAACTGTTTCTATATGCTTTGATCTATATCTATCCTTTATCTATCTCTTAAATTTTTTATCACTATTCTACTATATTCTATGCTATACCCTTAACTTTATACTTACCCTTAAATTGCGTTCATTTGCAAAATATATTTCCTATGTATTACGCTTGATTTTACATTTCCATTTATGTTGCACACAATTTGGCATATTATTTGAGAGAACGGCAGAAAAATCATATTGACTACCCGAAACTATAAATTGAAATTAGGAACATTTCATAAAAGTTACTATCAAATATGGAATTCAATTTATTACATATTAAAAAAAACTTAACACATTACATAATACACAGACACACACATTCACACACACACACACACACACACACACACACACACACACACACACAC